TTGCTTCGCAAAAAAACATTACTTTTTATCGGACGAATGGTCTGAGCTATAAAATCACCGCCAATCTCTCCCCTTCTCCCCAAAACGTATGTTTTTGGATTAGTCCTTACGGTTCGAGCGAAGAAGAGGAGAGGAAGCCAGCTCATGAAAAATATTTATTTTACGAAAAAATATCAGTACCTTTAAAAATATTATTTGATATTAACATTTCATCACATGTTCTTAATACAACTGTACTCATTACTACCAACATGTGTTATAGCGTCCTTGGTATTTTATTATAACATAAAAAATTTTCGTAAAAATAGTTCGAAACACTAAAATTTTTCAGTGTTCAAAAGTGCCATTAATAAAATCTTCCAAAAATATGTTTTTCTCTTTTCCCCTTGCACCTCGCCTCCTACCATCCTTAGAAAGACCGCGTCCAACCTATTGTCCACTGTCTGCCGCTTCGCTCTTTTATTTTTCACGCTTATTGTTTTGAACTGCTGTTGTGTTTTTGCAAAGAAACTGTTGACGAAAAACGATGACACAATAAACTGTGTCTGTAGTCTAGCAGTCTCATCCAGAAACTTGAAATTTTAAACAAGTCTGGAATAAGCAACAGATTTCAAACACAGGGATATTACCGAAAACGATTGACTTACTACAAAAGTTTATATAAACTAGTACAGATAATGAACATATGCAGACCATATAGGGATAGCTATAGAAGAAGAAATGCAGCCCTGTGCAGTGCACGCAAACCTTTACTCGTAAGATGAGATTATATGCAAGTAATGACTGAATGTCAGTACGCATTGTTCGGATGGTGGTTTGGGTAATATACAAAAATATCTATCAAAAAGAGATAACATTAAACAGCCAGTCTTTTTAACTGTTTGCTGGATTTCCAATAAACCCCGCTCCATTCCTCCTTCTCTCACGGCTGATCTCTGGTCATCTAATGTGCCAAATTAGAAGGTAACCAAGCAAAAATGTTGCAGAAGACGTTTTCATTTTTAAAAAAGATTTGAAATGATTAAACTCAAAAATAATTGTTAAAACAGAAAGCAACCAACTCTTAATGCAGATGAATACACTTTTTCTTTCACGTTCTGTTTTCTAACATGAAATTCATTGCGTTACTGTAGTATTTTGATCCTTTTCATCATTTATGAGTGCATTTTTATGATCTTTTTAATTTCTTGTATGAAAATACTTTGACTTTTAATCAGCAGTAATTTGTAGTCCGATTCTTTACTATGCAACGGGTGAGTTTTCTAGGTCCTATGATCAGTGCTTGGTCAACTGAGCGGTCAGTGCAATGTGAAGTTGAATGGTTTTTAAAAAATAATTTATTAACATAAAGCACTACTAACACACTACCAACTATTCTGCTAACATGAAATGGCTTTTTGGGGTATTACATCCGCTAAAAACGGTACTCGCTTTTATCATTTTAGTACAATTACTGACTTTTTAGGCTGCTTTTAAAAAACTTTGTTTTGCTTCATTTCATTTATTAACCAGTCATTTCACTGACATGACTCTTTGGTATGCTATGATTTCAGGTTGCAAATCTTTGAGGCAGCACTCCTCGTGAGCTAGATTTTTACAAGTTGAAAAGCAACGGGCAATAGTTTGGAAAAAAAAACTTTTTTCACACGGAATTGTAAAATTTTTGACAAAAAGGGCGTGTCGAGGATAGCCAAGACTGCTTAAATAAATCACTGCAGTGTTCCCATGTCAGCGGTGGTAC